CCCTGCTTGTGTTCCCTCTCTCGCTGTGTCTCTCTCTGGCAAATAAATAAATAAAATCTTTATAAAAAAAAAAACACAAAGCGGGAAAGACATAGGATGGGGGGCTGGAGGGACCATTTGTCTCTTCAAATTTTGTTCTCATAATGTTAAATTGTCTTCACAGAGCACAATAAATTTCAGGGGAAAGGATGACATACATCCTTTCACTTCCTTCAGCTGGGACTCCGCATGAAGGAGATACTGGCTGATGGGAGGCCCTCCCAGAAGCGTGTGGGGCTGGGAAGGTGGGTGGACTCTGCTGGAAACCACAGGAGGCAGCTGAGGAAGCTGTGGAGAGGACCCTCAGCCGCCCTCAAGGGCCCCAGCCCCCCACCCCAGCTGGCCAGAAGGCAGGGAAGAGTGCAAGGTTGGGGACTATCAACGAAGATCTGTCCTTCCAATTTAAGGGATCACACCAGCAGCCCCTTCCTTTGACCAGTTTTGAGATCAGAAACGACACTCAGCTCTCTAAAATTCATCTTGAGACAGAAGAAATTAAAAAAAAAAAAAAAGATGATTTGGGGAAGAGGATAAATTACAGTCGGATCCCCCACTATGTGCTAGAAACTACCACCACCAATTCAGCCATTCTCTCTCTGATCCCCCGATCTGCCCCACAATTGCGTGTCGATGTTCCCATTTTACAGATGAGGAAAGGGAGACCCCTCACCTGCCCAAAGTCAGTCATGCCCGGGGCGCGGGGACTGGGTTCAGAAGCCAGCTAGTGACAGCACACCCATCACCTCCCTCCCCAAGCAGCACCCACACTGGGGCCACATATAGGAGGGGTAGGAGGTAGAGGGGCCAAACCAGGCTGAGGCCCCTCCCGGCCTCAGACAGATGGCAGCTGGTATCGTACAACCCCCAGCAAGAGAGATGCTACGGACAAAATATCTGTGCCCCCCCCAAAATTCGTATGGCAGCCCCAACCCCTAATGTGATGGTATCAGGAGGAGACTGGGCTTAGAGGAGCCTAGAAGGGCAGAGCCTCACAATGGGGTGAGTGCCCTTAGATGAGGGCACTCTGCGTTTCTCCCCTCCATGTGCAGAGACAGGGAGAAGGCAGGCGCCGATAACTAGGAAGAAAGCTCTCCCCAGAACTGGACTGCCAGCCTCCGGAACCATGAGGAATAAACGCCTGGTGTTCAGGCTACCAGGTCTGCAGCATTTGTTACAGCAGCCCGAGCCGCCTAAGATAAGGAAGATGGTAAACTGCAAGCCCTGGGCGCAAGCCCAGAACCCCAAAGAGAGGCTGCTGAGGGGCCCTGCGGCAGAGCAGGTGCAGTGCGGGGACAGACTCAGCTCTGCGCTGCAGCAAATGAAAAACAAAGTTACAGGTAGGAGAAGCCTAAGTAATGGGCCATCGCTGGTGTGGAAACAGAAGTGGAGGGCCGGGTGTGTGCACGCGCCTGTGTGCACATGCGTGTCTGCACGCATGTGCACGTGTGTGCGTACACACTGGCGTGTCAGACCCAGCACACGCCCAGGAGGAGGCCAGAACGTGGCTGCCTCCAGGGATCAGGGTCAAAAGTAAGGAGAATAACTAGGATTTCACTTTTGATCACGTATGCCAGGTTTTAAGGAAAGGCTTCTTTAGTGTTCACAGGTCAGATATGAATCTACCCAAGAGAAATTCTGCCATTTCAAGCCGACAAGTCAGCAAACTTCTTGAACTTGGTTTCAAGGGCTCTGTTTTTATCAGCTGATAAACTGAAATGACCCCTCCTCGAGGCCTCCCGTAACAGACCCGAAGAACTTCCCTGCGGTTCTCCGCTGTCCAGCATGACAGCTCAGGTCCAAACGGCAGTCTCCCCAGCTGAAGCGAAAGCAGGGGGTCACAAATTCATTTCCCAGGGCTCTGAGAGAGGGGCCCTCACATAGGAGTCCAATGAAGGGCCCACAACTAAATAGCAGAACCAGACCTCAGCTCCCTGACCCAGGTTCCAGCCACCCCCGCACAATCCCAAGAAGCTCCCGGGGTGCTGGCGAAGATCAGGCCAGCCCTGCTTGCTGTCCACGGCAGGCACAGCAAAGCGGAGTGCCCAGGACCACCCTCCCTCCCACCGCTTTCCCCCAGTACTACCTCTATCTATTCGGCTCGGGAGGCCAAGCCACTAAAAAGAACCACTGGCCTCTGAGAATTCTGGAACAGGGCAACAGCTCTGGGCTGGGCAGCCCCTGGCTTCTCAACAGTCCCCACTTCCTCCCTGGTTCCAGAAAAGAACCATGAGGGACCTCAAGCCCTAACTGGGCCCCATCACCCTGAGCCTTTCTCCCAGCCTCCAGCCTACCCCTTTTGCCAGGGGCCCTCAGGACTGGGGCCCTGAGGTGTGCAAGCCTGGGTGCCGGCACTCACCATTCACTTCCTCCCCCTTCCAGGTGGAACTCGTACCGGTGGGTCCCCAGGAGCAGAAGGGCCAGGACGTCAGCTCAGTGCCCTGCACCCACGCTCCCCACCGCAGGACGGACTGAGCTCCCCTCCACCTCCACAACCCCAATCAGAGAGTTCACAGCTGCGATATTCTCCAGGCTCCTGGCCTGGAAAGGAAAGACACCTTCTAAACATTTCCTCGCGCACAAGACAAGGCCATCGGTAATAGTTTACGTAACATGGGACTGTTTCACCCCAAAACACTGTCCAACGCCAACATTCTGCACAGCATAGCAGGGCAGGGAGGACATCAGCCTTCACTCTGGGCTCCCGGCAGCCTTTCCCCAAGGCCCCATCAAGCGCCATCCCTCAAGGCAGAATTACATAAGCCCTTTCTCCAGGACGCCCAGCGTCAGACCCCTGGGTCCAGGGCCCTCAGAATCTATCCGTGTCCAGCTGGCCGTGGGTTTAGCTGAAGAGAAAGACGGAGCCAGGGGCCCAGCCTTCGGCTCTGACTTGTGGGGGTGCTCTTCACTCCCCTCTCAGGAGCAGTGCCCTGGCCCAGGAGACCGTGTGTGGACCCTCAGGCTGACAGAAAGCAGCCCCCATCCTCACCCCAGCAGGCCCGGGAACCCAGAACCAGGGAGTGCCCTTGCCCACTCCCCCGACTGCCCAACGGCCATCACAGTCTGTTCAGAGAGCAGTCCCCAACTTCCTGTGCAGGGTCCGCCCTGCCCACACCCAGACCGTGTGGTAGGGAAAGGAGCCCTCCCTGGCCCCAGCAACGGACTGGCTCAGGCTCACCAATCAGGGCCAATCAGAACTAATCCTCGGTCCCTTGGGACCTGCACCTGAGCTGGAGGGAGGCCCTGGAGCCAACGTACCCAGGTCTGAATCCCAGCTCTACCACCTGCTAGCTGTGTGACCTTGGCAAGGTGCCCAACCCCTCTGTGCCCCCATTTCCCCTGACAGGAGACAGGGGTACTACAAGCCCACAGCCTGTGAGGGCTTGCAGCGCAGATCACATGAGAGAGCACGCGAGGAACTGGCACACTGCCTGGCTCGGGATAAAGGTCAGTGTGAGGTCTCACCTGGAGCCACACGGCCTGGGAATGGAGCCAGCATGAGAGAGGCCAGGTCCTGGGACATCATCAGAGCCCCTGAAGCCAGAACTCTGCATGGAGATTCCACTTACAGAGCCCCGTCATTACTGATCCCGGTCGGCACTGAGGTTTCTGGAGGAACCGATAACATCCCTGTGACTTGTAGGAATCAGCCATACAATCGACATTCTGCTCAGATCATTAACTTCATCCTGACACTGTCAACTGTGATTGAGAGAGAGAGAGAGAGGACGAGATGACACAACTGCCAGGGTACCCTCCAGCAACGGGGACAGATTTGCAGGCACAGGTCTCACTCTCAGGGGAGTTCCCCATCCGCTGCTGGTACAGAGGCACCCACAGAACTGCCTACGTCCCATATGGCTGCCTCTGGGAAGGAGAGGCCTATCCACGCCCCTACCCTTCCCAGGAGAGCTTCTGAAATCCAAAGAGCTGGTCCTTCAGCACTCCCAGCAAGGCTAGAGGAAAGATGGGAAAGACCACAGGGGTGGCTGGCCCAGATGGCCCTGAACTCACCCTCGCACATGGCTCCCTGGAGGCCAAAGGCGGGCTGAGGAAGGGGGGGCATGTGTGGGCTCTGGAGCTGAGGCCCGAGCCCAGCCAGCCACACGGCCACGTGCACCAACCTGCCAGGCCGGCACTCTGAGCTGTAATGTAAATCCTCATCTGCAAAGACCCCTTGTAGCTCAAAGATTCTGGAAAATTACTCCTTCAAGATGCTGAACCTCTGGGGGTGCCTGGGTGGCTCAGATGGTTAAGCGTCCGCCTTCGGCTCCGGTCATGATCTCAGGGTCCTGGGATTGAGCCCCGCATCGGGCTCCCTGCTTGGCGGGGAGCCTGCTTCTCCCTCTCCCTCTACTGTTCTCCCTGCTTGTGCTCTCTCGCTCTCTCTGTCAAATAAATAAATAAAATCTTTAAAAAAAAAAAAAAAGAAGCTGAACCTCTGTACCTCACCAGAGGACCTTTACTCTGCTGTCCCCTGTAGGTAGACACGACGGGTCTGATTACAGGTGAGGGGAGTGAGGGACAGCCCCCTTTTCCTTCAAAGATGGTCTCTGGCCCGGAGAAAGGAGGGGGAAGTCTGCATGCTGAGCACCTCCCGTGCACAGGCATGAGGCCGACCCTTAACAAGGAGGAAATCGAGGCCCAGAGTGGGGCCGAAACACACCTGGGGCCGCTCATCCAGTAAGAGGCCAAACCAGGGTTCAAATCCCACCACCAACCAAAACACACGTTGTCCCTGGACGTCACCCAGAAGCACGGCCAGCCTCCCCAGCTGGGCGGCTATCAACTGAGTCAGCACTAAGTCTCCGGGCGCTGGGCAAGCGGGCCTTCCGAACAAAACTGAAAGGGAAAAGGAGAAAAGCTGATAACCCAGGGCTCTGAGGACGAGCCGCTGGAAAACGGCATCAACCAAAAAGGAAAGCCATCCTCCCATATTCTGGATCGTTTGCCGAAAGCAACAACAAACACCTGGCTTCATGCAGAGGGCTGTTCAAATCCTACCCCGGGGAGCGACCAGCTAGGAACCCCGGGAAGGCTCCCAGGCCCCTCCTTTGAGCCTCTGTGTCGGTATATGTACTGAGAGCCTTAACAGAGCAGCTGGTACTTCGGGGCTGAGCGGCTCCCCATCACTGAAGATCTCGGGCAGAGGCCGGTGTGCACCTCTGGAGGACCCAACAGCGCCCCTCAAAACCCAGGGGCAGCCGGGCGGAAGCACCCTCCTCCCTGCACGGGCACTTCCCGGTTTATGGACGGGCCTCCGCGAGGCCCAGCGGCTCCAGCCTGGACCTTCCTCCCCCGCGCAGTGAGGAACCAGGCACCCGAACCTCCCTCAGCACAGCGCCCCAGTTTGGCTGCGCCTCAGTCAAGGTGCAGGCCGAGGGGCCTGGGGGGCAGATTCCTCAGGAAGCACAACTCCTTCCCGCCCGGGGCCCCAACGCCCTGCCCACACCTGCTCACAGAGAGGCAGGAACAGGCCCTCTGAGGGAATGGTCAGACCTCCCTTTCTTTTCAAGGACCCCGCAACAAATCTTTAGAAAAAGACTGAAGAATAAAATAAAATCTTTTCAGAAGAAAATATTAAAGAAAATAAACTTTAGTGTCAGCGAGGCCAGGTTCAAATCCAAGCTGCCCCTCTATTAGCTCTACAATGTGGGGCTACATCTTCTTTCTGGGCCTTCATTTGCCCATCTGTAAGATGGGTGAGGTGCAGGGGCGCCTGGGAGGCTCAGTCGTTAAGCATCAGCCTTCGGCTCAGGTCATGATCCCAGGGTCCTGGGATGGAGCCCCACGTTGGGCTCCCTGCTCAGCGAGAAGCCTGCTTCTCCCTCTCCTTCTGCCTGCCTCCCCCCTACTCATGCTCTCTCTGTGTCAAATGAATAAATAAAATCTTAAAAAAAAAAAAAAGATGGGTGAGGTGAAAGGGGAAATTCCATCCGAAGGGAAACCAATGGGGGGGGGCGGGGGCGCCTGGCTGGCTCAGGCGGTAGAGCGTTAAGACTCTTGATCTCAGGGTTGTGAGTTCAAGTTCCACGTTGGGGTAGAGAGTACTTTAAAAAATAAATAAATAAAATTTAAAATAAATTTAAATAAAAAATAAGAGACCAGAGAGGAAACCAACAGTCCCACAGCACTGAATATTCCTCACAAAAACACCCAGGATCCTAAAGAGGGCAGGAGCCAGTCCTTCCAGGATGGGTACCTGGGACTCACACACACCACCTCCCACATGCCAACATACTCCTTCTCTCCTCTCCAAGGGTCCCTCACAGCTCTGGGAGGACAGAAGAGAACCCCGCACAACCTGTACTCCCTGTATCACCCTCCCCTCTTAGGGGCACAGCCCAGCAAACGTTCCCTAGAAGGGCTGGGGCTGTCCCTGGGGACAGAGGGGACTCTGCAGGGCTCACGGCTCTATGGGTCCCTACAACCCAAGACTGGCCAGCCTGCAGGAAGCACTCAATAAATACATGTCCTGTGGCTGCTTGAAGCAATGAATGGGGTGCTTTTCTTTTTTCTTTTTTTTTTTTAAAGATTTATTTATTCATTTGAGAGAGTGAGAATGAGAGAGAGTACATGAGAGGGGAGAGGGTCAGAGGGAGAAGCAGGCTCCTCGCCGAGCAGGGAGCCCGATGCGGGACTCGATCCCGGGACTCCAGGATCACGACCCAAGCCGAAGGCAGTCGCCCAACCAACTGAGCCACCCAGGCGCCCGGGGTGCTTTTCTAAAAGAAGATGGCTGAGCCCACCCCAGACATTCCGGCGGGGGTGGGGGGGTAAGGCAGCCCAGGAACCGGCATGAGCAGCCCACGGCAGGGCCCAGATGTTTCCTCACCTCCACACCCCAGCCCTCCGCTGCCAGATGGAAATAGGGTGGAAGGCAGAAATGAAAGCCAAACCCTCTGCACCCACCTACCCCCACCCCCGGGCCCTCTCCAGAAGCAGTGAGCGGGGAGGAAGGCGGCATGTCCTCGTCACTGACGCTGCAGAACCCCCACACCAGAAGAGGATCAGGAAGGGAGGCAGGGAGGCTACCTGTCGGCCCCAGGCTGGGGGCTCCCACTGGAATACGTCAGAGGCCGCAGGCCCCAGCTTGGACAGGCAGGAGGGCCGGGGCGGTGGCCTCCTGGGGAGAAGGGGGAATCCATCATTCCTGATGCACCTGCCATGCTCACTAGCCCGAGGAGGCTGTATCAGGCCCACCTGACAGAGGCGCGGAGGCTCCGGGACACTTGTCCAGTCACCTACAGCTAGTTGGGCAAGTCTTGCACTCCAAGTTCACTGCCCTCCCCGCCGCCAACCAACCCTCTGGGCCCAGTAACCGTCCACAGAGAATGCTCAGAAAAGAACACCCTGATTCGCTTCTGAAATGGTTATCAAGCCAACCGTCCCCGGATGCTACGTTCAAGATGGAGGCGAAGGCCACCAGGCAGGGTAGACACAGCATGGTTTCAGGAGTCAACTAGCCGCCAGGGTGACTCCCAGCTCTGCCACTCGCAGCTGGGTGACCAGGCAGGTCGTGTTGCCTCTCCCCGGGCCTCAGCGTTCCCATCTGGCACACGGAGACACGCCTCCCACCTGGGAGGGCAGATTTCCTGACCCATGGTAGGTTCTCCCTCCGCTCTGACATGAGCCACCGATTTGGGGATGGGGGTGGGGGACCATCACCACAGCCTTCCAGAAGCATGGAGGGCCGCATGGACGAGCCCCAAGTCCCAGCTTCATGGCTCAGGCTCCAAGACCTCTGACGCGAAGCCAACAGGTGTGCGGAGGAAATTGCAAAGTGGAGCCTCGCGGGCTAAGCCGCCGCCCCCATTCCCAGCCCTGGCTGACGACCCGTGTGACATCCCCAGGATGTGATATCCCCAGGACTGTCTCCTGTGCAAAAACGAGTTCCTGTCCAGCCTCAGGACCCACCTGTAAGCCACTGCAAGCCATAGCCAGAGGCAAGAAAAGAGGAGAGGATTGCCCAACCTGAGCAACCTGAGCTCCCAGGACAGACTGGCCTGGGAACCTTTACATCCAGATGCCCTCCTGGAGAGGCCCCGACCCCCAAGGACCACTTCTCGCCTGTTAAACTCGGCATTAAAGATGCCTGACAGTTCTGGGGTGAGGCCCTAGTAACATACTTTGGGAAAGGACAGTTTGCAAACACTGGCCTGGAGGAAGGTAAAGGTCTGTTAAAAAGAGCAAGCTGGGGTGGCTTCCCTCCTCCACCCCTAGACCCCACCTGGAGGCCTCACCTGAGATTTGGGAAAGGGCAAAGGTCAGCTGGCCTAGGGCCTACCCACCAGGGCTGTAGGATCCCCACCCTCCCCCACCCACAAGGCTCACAAGGGCTCCTTCCTGAACACAAAGGCTAGACTGGGCCAGACCAGAAGGGAGCATGTAGCCTCCAGTCCCCGGCCCCCAGGGCCCTCAGAGCATGGCTGAGCCTCAGGTGCGAGACCCAGCCACCCACCTGGCCCCCCATCACACTGCCAGCGAACAAAGATACCAAGGACACTCTACTGCCTTCTTTGACCACCTGTCTAAAGTGGAAACCAGCCGGCCCCTCCCTAAACAGCTGCTCACAGTCCACACGGAACCCAGGGCTACAAGAGGCAGGCCAGGGCATGTGGCTTCTCAGCAGCAGACAACGCCCACCCTGTAGCTCATTCGGCTCCCAGAAGAAACGGCTCTCAGCCTCTTTGGTTAAA